GGGAATTTTTGCTCCATGAGGGTCAATATACATTAGGACAGTGTGGTTTCAACTCACTGTGTAGATAAGAGATTGGCTTTGAAGAATGGGGTTTCCCAGCCCTAAAAACTGCATTGGATACCTTTGATGAGTTTTCCCGCAACGCGACGGCCTGCCTTCCCCTGACACGTGTTAATGCGTGTTTTATGTTTCCCCCTTGGCAGGCTGCCAGCTCCGTAACAACATCACAGGGATTTGGGAGAGAACAAATTGCAGTAATCAACTAGAACCTTCAATCGGTCACGAATGCAGCCACAATTATGGGTCGCGCGGTGGACGTGAAACGATTTTATGATCACGCCGATTCTGCTCGTCGTAATTGTGAGGTTGAGATTTTGATACCGCTGAGATGTATTAATGTTGAAAGCCCGAAACATTTCTGCATATGTTGCCCTTTAAAATCTATGAATGCCAATTCTGCGGGGTCACCCACGGCCGTGCTCAAGAGTATTTCGTATTTTGATTTTGGGCGTGTGCACTTTGAGTTTCACAGCAAACCACCATGTATAACGGTTGTCTTTAGATCAGTCACTGCGTGCTAAGAAAAGACGATGACAAAATGGATAGAAAGAGATATTACAAGAAAAAGGATTACAAGAACGTTAGAAACGTTTATTGACTATGTCATGAGTTTTTTTTTTCTATTCCGGTTTCAGTTAATAGGTTGTCAACGGGAGCGAGCCAAGAACTTAATCATCGTGTCGATTAGATTGCTTCTTATACATAATTGATGTCTTCGATTACCCAAACCTCCCAAGCGTCTCTTAAGGGACGGTTTAAGAAGAATTACTTCTATTCCCGACTGTGTGCGGTAACTTAATAGGTTTGTCTTTATTCTCGTCAATATTTTGGCGACGGCCCAGGGACTAACGTGGTTGGGGCAGGCTGTCTTCGGGGCTCTAATAGCTTTTTCCCCGCTCAGTACAACAGAGCGCCTGGTAGGAGCTTTGCTAATAGAGTCTGGCCTAATTACCTAACTCCCGCTGTGAAACACCTACCTGAGGAACCGCGCAGGGAAGAGCTTCAGCAGCCCCGAAGAAAACCCGCTCCAATCACTAGGTTACCCAGGGACTTTTTCATAACAGGGAGTTATTTTGCCCCCTCTCTCATTTTCGCGACGACTGTAGCATACAGACTCCACCATTATAAAAGTCTTGCGTGACGTTACCTTAAATTAATTGCAAATAAGAACAGGGTTTCAACGCTTTGATCAGTTTGAAGGCGATGATAATCTATTTAGGATTTCTCCACATGCCCCACGCTGCAAGCAATATTCTACAGGGCTCCAATTGCAATGTTGCACAATCTGAACATCATATATAGAATTCTGAATCTGGTTTACAAAACATTCTTGGGACGAACAAATTGGTAGCAAAAGTAATATGTTTGACCTTGTCTTTCGCCAGGTCGTAAGGTACGTTTTGTGGAATTATTCCTTCACTCGCCAGGGGACTTGAAGCAGACAGGTAGTCGCCAGCCTTCGGTGTCGAATGTTTACACGAGCACTGCTGAGATTAATAAAACTTTTAATGTAGATACTTTAAAATATATATAAATCCCTGCGAATTACAAGATGTGATAAAAAGGCAACTGATATCATTTTGTGATTGGAATGCATCGTGCGCCACTGCGTTCATTTTTCGATCTGTTGGTGCAAGAAGCTTTCGATATAGAATGTCCTTGGTTGGCATGGTGGCACTCGTGTGGCATAAAATCTAACCTTTTTCACCCACCTTTGTTTTCTATCCTGATTACCGAGTAATCGCGCCCCTAGCGGAATTCCCACGTATCGCCCACGCAGGTCCCATGGCGCTCTGGACAGAAGGAATGTGCATTATCTAGACATGGTCATAGACTGTTCACCTTGAAATTTACAAGGAAAACATTTTAAGAATGTCCAGAAGGATACGAAAAGACCAAAGTACCACTCTACGCGCTTAGCTACTGTAATCCAGGGGCTGCTCTAAAATTTTATCTTGCCAACGCAGACGCCCACATTCAAACACCCTCGTAAATTGTACCCACCAGTTATAGAACCTTCCCGTCCCCACTCGCTATCAAACCGCCGGTACTCCCGGACCTTACAGCTTTAAACTACATCAAGTGGCTTCCGCGGGGATGAGTTTAATTGATTCCACCTCCTAGTCGTGGCTAAATTGGTTTCTGCGGGAGAAAACAAGCGTGGGAAGCCAATGAACTCGAACGGGAGAAATGAGATCGCCGCCGGCAGGGTGTTACGCACGCGGCGCCAGTGCGGGTTTCCGAGCCGTTAGTTATCACAAGAATTTAGATGAACAACAAGAACAAATGTCAAAGTACTTAGCTGCTCTTAGGTAGTCTTTTTTTAATCTTTTTTTGCCTGTATTTTTCTTCTCTTGGAACACTTCTACGGACCTTTCTACGTGAGTTCCTTCTATCCTTAATGCATCCGTCTTTTTCTGCTATATTTCTGTGCGGCTACCAACTGCCTTATTGATGCACAAAATCCTCTACAATCTTTCACATTCGTTCCCCACGACTGGGCACGTTTCCTCGCTTCTTTTTAGCGTCCTCTTTGGTCTCAGAAGATAAATCAAGAGAAATGGCCTCACATTCTTCATCATACACCTGTGTGTGAATCGCTAGAAGACCGTGTAATGCCGTTGGCACGGGTCTCGGCAGAACGGCGGGCTATCTGATGGAACTACATCCGTTTCTAAAAGGAATTTCATGCAAAGAAAAATACAGCGATCTTTCAGCCATAGCAATATTTCAGGAACGAATCAACCTCCCGGCAAAGCTTAAAATGTATGCCAGACTCTACTGCTGCAAACACTGTAGTAACTTGGAGCAGTATCTTACTGTGAATAATATTTATTCTAAGATTCTATTAAGATATACTACATTGAAGAAAATGTTTTCAATTCAAAAACCCGCGTCTCCCAATCCTACTGGCTTGATACAATGGCGATCTCTTTTTCTTTCCTTTTTGTTCTTAAGAGCAACTTAAAGGGACGGGGACTAAAACGTTACATCATTTACTGGAGAAATGTGGCTATGATATCAACTTTAGACACGTACGCATGGAGAGGATTTTAAGTTACGTAAAGATACACTCTTGCGGATCTAACGTACATGCCCTCCGGGTTTCTAGTAAATCAAGAAGATATTCAGTGATCGAAAACTCGATGGAAATGAAGAAAAGTGCCGCAATTTCATTGGTGCTGTGAAGTATTATTTGTTACAAAGAAAACTGCCAATTTTCAGAAGTTCTAACACACTGTTGAACCGCAGGAATGGTTTGCTCATTTTGAGTCTGCTTTGATGATAGTCAAAGATAGCGTCTTTAATATGGTTGGATTGGGAGATAGTTAGTCAAGCTGTTGCATATGAAGTATTTGAAGATAATGATCGAACCGCACGCCGCGACAAGCCCTTCAACAATCAACGGCGTATGAAATCTTCTCGCACGATCAATGATTCCGTGCTGTCTGTGTTTTCTTTTTGTAGTTCGGTGATTTTGAAGACATCCTGGCCTCTGGGAGTTACAGATCCATCTCTAACTAAAAATATAACATTTGCAACGAAAATGCACAATGTTTATCATTGCATATGGTCTGCTCTATGAATTCTTACTCAAACACATTCATATATGGTCAGACAGGAGTCTAAATCCTTCCTGCTATAAAATTGCAACATGATGTTACCCAACACTTGTAACCATGGTGACAGACGTCTGGTTCAGGTCATTGACCTCATTAGTTTGTAGAAAAAGAGGAGGAAACAGAGCAAAAACTATTTTTTCCTTCGGTAAACCTAATAACTTTGGAACGACTACACTGTATATATTCAAAAGTACGACCTCTTTCATTTCTAAGCTTGGCCATAGACCAACGAAGTGTCAAAAGTCTCCCAACTCTTTTAACCGCGAGCAATTCTTTAAACGAAAGGGCTGGAAGAAAAGTGAAGATGCCCTTTTCATTTATTAAACTTCCTAAAGGCATGTCTCAATTCCCGGAAATTCGCCCACCACCCGTACAGGGCGCGTTTGAAATTCTATATTTAACCTCCTATAATTGCTTGGCGCCGGCAGCAATACCCATGGGAGGGAACCAACTTGGGAGCTTTTCAAAGTAATCTGTAGGCGTTTGAGCGCAGAAAGTGGGTCTTCAAGAGCCTAATGTCTAAATAAGATGCCGTTAGGGCCCTGGAGTATATCTTATCGCGTTGCTAAATGATTGAGCCATTATACGCGAGGCATCTACCAATGTATCGATTTATTTATTTATTCATTTATTTATTAGAGATTCAAACGCCCTTGGTCGAGTCGTTTTCAGTCGTTAATGATGAGGTCTATTTGAAGCTGTCAAAGTTCCATAGAAGCCATTGTCTTCTGCAATTTCTCATTAATAGGTTTCGTCTGCCCTGCAATATTAACGAGGCAGTTCATAAGAAAGCCGCCTGAGGGCGCAGTTCTTATGCGACCGCAGCGGCCGTTTTCTGCCACAGAGGTTAGACTCTTGGCCGTCCAGAGCCAGAGGGCATCATAGTTATTGGCTGTAGCGCTTCGATTAACTCTGATCCCCCTCTTGTCTGCTTGTCCATTTTCACCAATCATGTAATCGTGGCTTTCGTCGCCCACGCTTAGAAACGGCCCTTCAACCGTAGCAAATACTCCGTTCTATTTTCGTACGTTATATAGTACTTAATGATGTCGCCAGATTTATTGGCGATGTGTACCCACATCCTCGTTATAACGTTCCTATCTAGATCTCTTACGTGACATCCATTTCCTATGCAAAACTCTGGTCCTGATAGACGGTGGAATGGGAGAGACTTACGAGTCCGCACGGGACGTGTATTTAGTATTATCTCTCTCAGTATCAGCCTAGCAACGCGGATATGAGGAGTGGCGCAAGGAGAAGTGTTTGACCAAAGGGAACTCAAAGTTCAATACCGGGCAAAACGCCTTGATCAAACAGGTGTGAAACCCGCGCGGCCGGAGGGCCTTGAAAGTGTTTGCAGCGAAAACCACGCAGGGAGGTTGGAGAAATTGTTCGTTAGCGCGTCGACCGGCGCTACAGGCGCGGCCAGCGGTGCAATTTAAGGGCTTATTTCTGCGGATGGTACGGGCAAAACAGGTGTAGGATCCATGGACTGGAGGAGCTTTTAGAACCGCCCCAACAAGACAGGCTGTCAGCAACAGTGCGGTAGAGCATGTCACCCCGCCGGTCCACGTGCGATATCTGTCCCTCTCGGCTGTAACGGGTTTAGGACAGTCCCGTAGGTTAAGGGCGTGCATTCGTACTTTGGTCGGCGCGGTCTCACAGACTTTGACACGCGGAAACAACGGTCTAAAAATACGCCCTGATATCACCGTGTACGTGTTGGACCCGTCTCCTTGGAAGTATGGGCAATTGTCTCAGCACTAGTCAACAACATACCCTATGGAACCCGGCGTAAGTCACGTTTTATATCCACTTTATAAACCTGTCTAAGCCTGGCGTTGTTTTTCTTGGCTTTCAGGTGGACAAAATGCTTTGTTTTCAGGGGTTAAAAATTGTTACAATGTCGATCGATCCTTGGACTTTTGCCCCTTGCGATAACATTGGTCTGTTGTTTGAATATTCCATTTATACTTTTAGGGGTACGTTTGATAAAAAAAACTATTAGAAATACAAGTTGTAAAGCGACTACACTCCTTTTTTTTCAGTCAAAATGATTGCAGTATTATTTGTATGGCAGTTGATTGTGCGGCTACAGTGTGTGTTCCGTGGTGTTGTAATGTACTGACCTAACACATATGGCTCTCACTGTCTACGGTCATTAAATAAAAACATCACTTTACATTCATATGACATCAATCTAGTTTTGGCACGTAATTACATTATAAAAGTGACTATACATATGTTTTTTTAAAGATTTGTATATTTTAGCTCAAGCATTTTTCACTGGCAAAAAGTCAACACGTGTTACCACTGTCGGCCTTTTTAAAGGGATGCTGTTATAATATGTTTAGCGCGGACAAAAAGCAAGGTCATTTTTGTGCCCTTAACCTGGCACCCCTTGCTGAGAAGTGACGGTGTCCTGGTGGGTGACTAATAATTTCCCCGCGCAGTCAGAGCGATGCGCGTTTGTACTGTGCGTATCTTCACAGCCGACCTCGCAAGCTAAAGCTGCGAGCCTTTTTAGTCACCAGGGAGGGTAGAGCGTGTTATTTATCATACATCCACGCGTCGCGCCTTGTAGGCTGTGCGCGGGTGTCGCGGCAACGGTAGGGCAAACCGTGCCCGCCCTGCGTTCATGTTCAAGAAGAAAAGAAACATGGGGAACGGCGGGTTTAAAGGGAACGTGGAGTCGACGGGGAAGGTTTCTCCGACGGGGACCAACGGTGTGACTTATCTCTCCCCCCACAGCGAGCTGCAGGAGCAGAGCCGCGGCAAAGATGCGGAGATCCGCCGCTTAGCGCAGGAGCTGGACGCCTACAAGAACATGGTGGCGGAGAAGGACGCGGAGCTGGAGAAACTGCGGCTGGAGGTGAAGAAGCTGACCGACGTGCTGCAGCAGCAGACCGCTCGGGGGAAGGCGGCGCCTAGCTCCCGCCTACAAGGGACCATGTTACCGCCTATCCACGAGGGTCTCGGCATGCACGGCCAGCAACATGACAACAAACGGGCCGGCAGGATCGGGGTCAAGTTCGGAGTGTCCGGAGAGTCCGTCTCGGACACTAACGCCACCAAAGACCTGCCGAGAGTACCCAAAGATCAAAGGTATGATGTTATATTTTTTTATCTTTTGTGAATCGTAATAAGAATCTCCGAAAATGTCTGTTTTCCCCTTGGATTTTTAGATATTTACGTCGACATTTTTCGACGTGTTACACCGCTACCAATCGTTGCTAGGCAACGCGTTTTTTTTTATTCCTCTCTGACGCAGTGTGACTGCGGAGGAAGTAATCAGACATGTGTATAAAAATATCCCCGCACACATGGCTCCAGGGACATTCAGCTACACTTCAAAACACCTCTGTATAGTGATATGCATCTCTACATTAGATCATTTTGCATCTATTAAGATAATTGATAATTTCAATTTCCGACAGGATTTTCTGAGTAGCGGTTAATATTCTCGACATTCTTTAATTTTTATTTTTGGCCGTCATGATTTGGTGCTGATATCCTGTGCATTATGAAAATGTCATCCCAAATGAGGAAGCTCAGAAAAATATAAATGTTACCTTAGGCTTTATTTCATGATAGGTCAAACCACTCAATGACTTTGTGGAAATCGTGATGTCTAATTCATGAGCAGCTACAGCATATTACATGGGGCTGGGATGTTCAATTTTCGTCTCATTAAGTGGACAAATGATCTTAGTCAGAACTAATGACATATGTGATTCATTTTTCTTTGGGCCACACAAATTTAATGTCTAGGTTCCAAAATTTTCTGTTTCATGTTCTTTTTTTGTGAGTTCAAATTTCTTTCAACACTATACCATTCATACTTACTTTGGTGACACCAAATACATTCTTTGTTCTCAAATTTACCTGCATCATTTTTTTCCTGATTAAAAAATGAAGAACTAAGAGATGGAATTGATCTGGCCTAATACCCATGCTCCTTCAGTCTCATCACTAGATTTAATCAATGTACATCAGGCATATTACTTAGTATGAAATCTGTTTTACATAATCCTTAATGAACCAGGCTTACAGCAGCTTTTCCACACTTTACCTGATCAGGGACCCTGGAAGGAAATAACAACAAACAGTTTCTGCTGGTGACAGAAAGACAACAGTTTATTTAGAGCTGTTTTTCTGTCTTTATTCTGGATATTTCCTGTGTTGTTTTTGGAGTAAACATTCTAGAAGTTGCTGAATTGATTGAAAGTAGCAAATCTAATTAACATGACAGTGATTTTGTCCTTGCAATTTTGGATACTAAATGCATTTTATAAAACTACATATACTTTTGCAGCTAATACTAGCAGCTAAACTTTGTTGCTTTTCCTCTAAAATGAAGATTTTGTTGTCCACTTGTACTGGGAAATTTTGCCCATACTATAAAAAAACAAATCAGTGAGGATTTGTTGCTGTGATTCTTAGTAAAGGAAACACTACTTTATCATGTTGTTAGCCTCAGAGAAGGTAACAGTTTGTTTGCTTTACAGTGGTGCCTAATTTGGATTGATTAGTGCATATATACAATATAGTAAAGATAAGGCTTGTTTGGTAGTGTTTTTTTCCTATGTAAAACTTCCTTATTGCACAGCTCTAGTAATTTTGTTAAAATTTTTGCATGCTTTTATCACAATGTTGAGTGTATGGAATTATCAAAATATCCCAACTTTCTAACTTTTCAGGCAACGTTCTTAAAATTCCCCAAATAAATGTGCATAGGGAAGGGATTAAATAGGTCCTAACTCCCCAGGTAACCAATACTGTACAAACAATTTGTTATACCTAACCTGTAAAGTGGTGAAGTTTTAACCTTTGGCCTGCTAAGCCAACCATGTGCTACCAACACTTGTATTGATTATGGGATTATGCAGCATGGAAAAGGTTAAGTAAAAACAGAAATTAAAGGCTGACAGTAAAAAAAAAACTGGAAGATATTTTTTACTACAAATTATGTTGAACAGATGGCCACTGTAGACTAGAGTCTTAGTCAATGACGGAAAAGAAGCCACAATAGCCAGGTGGCCACAATACTGGCAGGTGTCTAATTTATGACTAGGTAACTGTACTTCAACAGCTCTGATAACGTTTCTTAAGTACACAAGATTTACAGGTTTATAATTGTGTTACTTGGCATCTATATGAGCCATAATTTATTACCTATAACCTGGCAATGCTGTAAAATACTTTCCTTTACCTGGTACAGGTTGGATTTCATTTTGTAAGACTTATGAAGGCTTTGTTTCAGTACAACAGATTTTTATATTAGTATTTCAGTTTTGCACATTTCCCCCCTAGAATCCTTGGTCCAAGCTTTAATGCTGTTCACACTAAACAGAGGTGGAATGAGTAAGAATGCCACCAGAATAAGATTTTGGTATAGTCCTGGCTATCTGAAGTGTATTCTGAAAATTTGGCGTGTATTCCAAATATTTGTATCTATTTCAGTTCTCCATCAGATGCTATCAGAAGGGGATGCTGTAAGAGTATATAAATGCAATCATACTGCAGTTATAGTCTTAAAATACTCTTTGATATTTCTCTACTTCAAATTCACCCGAAAGTTTTCATCATTGAATGGGCACAAGTATCTGGAATATAGTGAGAATTTCTAAAAATGCACTTAAGTCTTCAAACATATAGAAATGTGCAAAGAATTTTGAAATTCATTAATTTTTTATCTTAGGCCACACCAATTTAATTTGTTGGTTCTCGGATTTTTTCAGAGAAAATATGAAGCGATAGGGCGAAAAAAAATAAAAATAAAAACAGTTCTAGGCATCCTATTATAGCCCCAAATGCTACAATATGAGCCATGAAGTCAACAAAAAAGGCTGGGTTAAAATTTAAAGTATAAATTTTGAACTTTTAATCAAACCACTGCATTGATAGATGGAAAAAACTGTAACAACTAGTAAGAAAAGGAATTTCCTCAACTGTTGGGGGCAAAATATGAGCATTTTTTAGTTGATTCAGAACCAGAATTTTTTTTTGTCAAATCAGAAAAAAATGAAGAGGCAAATCCGAGAACCAACAAATTAAATTGGTGTGGCCTTACCCTTACATCTTCCTTCACAACCTGAATGAAAAGCAGCCGGCCGATTTGAGCTTCTCATGAATATACAAACTTTAAAGGTATAAACCAAAGCCTGCCTCTAGTATAAGTAGGATATTACATATAGTGGAAACTATATTTACACAATATACCTCCTGAGAGTGTGAACATTTGCACTACAAAGTCATGCTTTGGGCTTTTATGCTCAAGACTGAAAAATTCCCTACATGGTTGTACAAGCGGTTCACAGCGCAAGTGTGTGCTTAACAAGACTTTGATACAGCCTCTGATGTTCCTACTGGTTATGAACCGTAAACTAAATCTGATGGCTACTTAATTGGATTAAAAGGTTCCTCTTACTGTATGTGGATAATAGCTAACCAACATGAGTGATGTATATCAAAAGAATATGACTCTCAGTCCACAGTCTTCAATGGTTTTTAATTTTATTTCACTTATTGTTCCAAGGCCATACTCCAAAGCTTTTTTTCACACCAGTTTACAATATATTTCAGACCAGCTGCAACATGAGAATCCATTCAGTAAATTAAATGTATATGATCTGTTTTTTAAATTCTGTCACAGCATATGGTTATCAGCATAACCTGCATAGTGTAAACACTCTATCTTGTATCAACAAAAATGCTTTCTGCTAATGGGAACATAAAAGAGCCGGAACAGAACTAGGGTTTACTGATTGATGTTTTGTGCTGCTTTTCAAGTTTCAAGTTCTGTTCTATCAGAAATACATTAAGCAGATAAAATTTACTAAGCAGACATTTGAAATACAAGAGAGAAAACGTTTTTGAAGTTCAGTGAATGTGTTAATGCACAGTGTAGCAGCATACATGTATCTGTAAGGGGGACAAGGTCCTAAAGAAAAGCACACCTGGTCTATATACATGTACATGTATCACTGTCCACTTACTACTAATGTTACATTGTACTAGACAGTGTATTGCCCATTTTCGGTAAGCAGCTAGGTATACAAACAATCATACACAACTGAGTGGGGTGAACCCATCTGTACTGACTCTCCTTCACCACTTCATCTCATTGTTTACCCTCTTGTTAGAAACAGATCAAAATAGCCGACTGTAATCATCGGCTGGTAAAGGAAATTGGAGAAAAATGTTGCACTGTGAATATGATAATGCTTTAGCCAGTGCAGGAAATTAGAGAAAGATGTTTCACTGGTAGTAATTGGCAAGAAAATTTGCACAAATTAGCCGGGAGTCAATTATGACATGTTTCAGATGAGGAATTATTGGTGAATCTAAAACTAAATTGTATCTAATTTTACAGGTGAATGGACAATGGGTGTACAATGTATCTATAAAATACACAAAACTCAATGTCAGTTTATTTGTGTGTATACAGCTACATAGTCTAGTGTTTCAAATTACTCTAACACAAAAGCAAGTGGAAGGGAATTATAGCTTGTATAATGGAAGTAACATTTACTCCAATATGCATGTAATGGGGGTAGGTTAGTTGGAGTACTTTACGTTAAACATGGGAAAAGAAACATGTCTATTCACCTGTTCCCGTAAGTGTATTCCTTTTATTGTCATGACAACAGACCTCATTCTCTGCGATTTTCTTAATATCAGTAGTTATAATTTTGTCGCTTCAATGCAAAATATCATGGTGATCACTCCTAGGTAAGATCCTGCCCTACATGAATATAAACGTTCTACTAGTAAATTAAATGTACTTTTCAGTCCAGCATACAAAGTAAGGTTACAAGTTTAAATTATCTTTGGCTTAATCCGATACGTTGTTTTGACTACTTTACCTGCTGTAGCTTACATTTCCTGATTAATTCAATGAACGGCTACAAAACGGTGGCCTTTGTTGGTAATGAGCCGGTGTAAACTCTGCATCATCACTATGGTAACACACAAACACTCTCCGTCACACTCATGGTATGTCTGTGTGTTTCACCATTGTAATATACTGTCCGCATCCTTAAGTGCCATGTTTGAAGAGTAAATTTCTGAAGAAAATCAAAATTCTGCCATTAACTCGCACT